AGAGCTGGGCTGTTCAAGCACAGCTTTTCAGGTCCTTTTAAACAAGTGCAGACTGTGCCACTGGTTATATCTGGTCTCCTCTGAAATGTGAAAGGATATCATTCACTGAACAGCCACATCTCTCCGAAGGGTTGCAGACCAGGGATTTGTTTCCACAGGGCAGGACATAGAGGGTGGAGCAGAGAAGTGGGGGAAGGCACCTGACTGTTTCTGATTTGTCCCTTCTGAGAGGCTGTTGAACCAGTATTAGAGCATGCTTTTCATGGACAGAGTTGATGGTTATGGATGGAATGCTGTCCTGTTTCAGAACCGGGAGGAGAAGGCTTGGAGTGAAACTATTTAAAACAAGAGGGCCAACACTGTCCTGCAGTGGGTGATTATCAGCTTCAGTGTGGCTCCCCAGTGGACACTGTACCCCCTGAAAATAACATTGGTTGTGGCGCTAGCTTTAGCATGCCAGAATGTCTCTCCACCCTTCCTTACTTTTAATCATTGCTGCGTTTTGCTCTGATGTGTTTTGCTGGCAAATCCCTGACACAGCTTGCCTTGGAGTAAAGCTGATGTTAAAGGTATGCACATTTATTTGAGAGAAAGAGTTGGTTTTCGTCCTGTTCCCTCCTGCTCTATTTCCAAAAAGTCTGTGAAGGCTCCAGCCCTGTCTTAATGCAAGCTCCCCTGCAATTGGTGCAACCAGTGCATTCCCTCCAGACATGTATTCCAGATGAATTAGTGTTCCTTGAGGAAGAAACGTATGCATCCATGGGAGTCCATGTGCCACAGAGCATATGGTGTGCATCAGTCTGGTAAAAGTGAAAGGCAGTGGCAAGCTGGGGTCACTGGAGTGGCTGTAATGGGGACAGCACTAAGGCTGAATTGTCACACCCTGCCGCTCAGTGTCAACTCTGAACATCACTTCTTTGTTAGCAGCTGGGCCAATTGCTCAGTGCCTTTACTCCGTAAAGGAAAATGCTAATAGGTGTTTTTTCTTTGGGATGAAGCAAAGATTTGTTTCTCCATGGATTTGCTACAAAATGAAGAGCACACCAAGGTTTAAGGAGTCATAAACTCTCACTCAGACTGAGGTTTCCTCCTTAGTTGTCTGGGAGGGTGGAGAACTGAGATATGAGGTGCCTGTATCATTATCATTGTGTTACTGGTCTTGCTGTGTTTTTTCTGGACGTTGCAGCCATTCTTCACTCAAACATTACTGTGTATAATTTCAGTTTTGGTGGGACCTGGAATGGGAGAGGCGAGCAGTAAGTGAATCTAGAATATTCACCAACAGATCAAGTGTGCTGAGTTCTGAGTATGGCAGGATTGAGATAGTTTGGCATTGGGAGCTAAATCACTGTAGAACTGGTGTATAATGGAATAAGTGAAGAAAACAGTATAAAATGCCTAGCAATTACGGTGTATTACAGGAAAGCTGGAAGGCCTGGCAGAGCTTAGAGTCTACAGCTTACATGTTTTAACTGTGAGGTTGGAGAGCTGTTAGAAAGTATTGCACATACTACAGCTGCTTATCGAATTCCTGTAATTTCTGCTGGATATGGTGGTCACAGCCTCTGTGCATTCCGTGTGGGTGTGGGGATGCTTTGACAGAAGGAGAAAGGATGCATTAGGAGTGCATTGCTGGGGACAGAAATACCATGGTCTATAAACCTGGTTGCTGGCCAAAGCTCATGTGCTGTGATACTGGAGAGGTCTGGAGTTCTTTTGTAGCTTCTGTTTTCTGTGTTTTCTGATAGCAGAGATTAATGTAAGTGTCTCTAGATAAAAATCAGCAGCTATTGCTGGACAGGCAATTACTACCAGCAACATCATTACAATCCCTTTTAGCCTTGAATCTAGGAGTAGGGGGAATACAATCTATTGCATTTTTCAGCCTGTGTTTTTCAGTAGAGGTTTCTTATTTTTATGTGATAAAGAATAAAGCTGCATGAGAAATCCATGTCCAGGCTTGCTTTGCATCACAAAGCTGTTTCTTGGCACTGTTTTGATGGTAATGGTGCTGTGGATTCTTATGTATAGAAACTGTAGACTGCAGAAGACAGACCTATTTTCAGCCTTTGTTGCTCTTAGCTCTTGATTAGAATTCGTTATAAGCACTTTACAGAGGGAGGCAAGCATTATTGAGTTCAGCAGATTAGTAAACTGAGGTACGAAGGGAAAATGATGGACCTGGAAACCGCTGAAAGTAAGAAGAGACATCAGCCTTTTCCTGAGTATATACCACTTGTACCCTGCTAAAATGTCCTGCTCTGAAGGCATCTTGCACAGTAGTCATGCACAGGTCATCTGCATTTCCTAAGTCCTCAGTGACATGAGCGCTGAGTCTTGAAACTACCTAAAGCCACTTGAGAACTGAAGTCTCACTTTACTGCTAAGAATTTGTCATTTCCCCTGAACAAAAGGCTTATGTTACAGACAACCTGTATTTGACAGCCTTTTTGTACTTGTACTTTGTGAGTACAAAAAGTACTTGCTTAGTACTTACTTCTTGCACTACAAAAAGTATTTACCTTGTACTAAGTAATAAGTTAATCAACTGTCAGAATTGACTACTAGAATTGCAGAAGGAAGTATCCCTTATTCTTCAATGCGTGTATGGGCACCCTCAGTCAGTGTGGAGCTTTAGAATGGAGAAGTTGGAAAATAGTTTTTCTTATGCAGCCCTGTTGACTAGTTTTGGCAAACAGGGGAAAGAGCACACCCTCCCTCTTGCTGGGTGTTCCTCCTTCACATCCCAGCCATGATTCTGAGAGGCAAAGCAGAAGTTGGGAGCTGCTGTACTGTTAATTTCACTAAGTGGCAGATGCTGGCACTTCCTTTCTTTCTAAACTTTTGGTGGTTTGTGGTAATGTTGAATCTCGTAGTGCACTAGTTGCTAGCAGGGTACAGATGTTTCTTGTCAGCTTTGGCCATCTTTCAGTGCTATAAATACTACCTTTAATAAAGAGCAGTGGTGAAAGAGGACTGTGATATATAGTGAGGTGAGGCTCTGTGAATTGGCATGGCTTTTGAAGCAGCGTTTTTACATTAAAGACTCTGCAGATTTGTTACCTCACCTGGGTATGCCTTGCTCTTGACAGTTGTTAGAGACGGGAGGTTGGAATGAGTCATGCCTGATTTGAATGGACAAGTGTTGCTCTGGGCTTGTGTCAGGGTACTCTGTCATTTGCTTTGTTCACAAGTTTGGTATAGACCAAATTCAGAGAATTTCAGACATTTGCTAGTGTCTTTGGATAGGGCTGGGGAGGCATTTTCCACAACAATGATATCAGGAGGGGCTTTTTTTCTTTCCTAGGATGACTGATGGCCAGTGTTGTTGGAATTGTATTCACAGTATTTATTTCCTACTAAGCGTTGAGACTGACTCCCTTTTGTTATAGCACCATTTTATTTACACTGAAATAATTGCAAATCCCCAGTTCTTGCAGGAACTGGTTAGATTTCTGTTTTCCCCAGATACTTGATAAAGAAGTTGTACCCACAGGGAGAATATGTGATATTTCTGATGTTGTAGAAGTACTGAAAGGATGGAAACAGAGGTAAAATGGGCAAATCTCTGTTCTGTACATGTCCTTCTCTTAAACCATGCATGAGAAGTGAGATGAGGAAGTAGGTGACGATTTGTGGCATGCAGAATACCTAATTTTTTTCTTTTTAACTCACCTTATATGAAATCTTGTCTTTGAGGAATTAATGAGTGGCTAGCAGACATTTGAGTAAGTGGCTAGACAATTGTTACTGGAACATGGAGATCAGTTGTTTTAACCATGGCTTGTCAAGTCTGAAAATTACAGTGGTATGTGAAGCTGTGGTATGTTGTTTAAAGTGCTGTGTGTACAAAGTCATCTTTAACTCATTCCAGTTGTATCTGTCCTTTGCATGACCCTTGCTGATCATTCATTATCTCTGTGTAAATGGCATTTTAGTGAAAAGAATTTCTATATACTATAAAAATGTAGGAATAAAAATAGAAATGCTGTCAAATGCGCACACACACACACACACACACACACACATACACAGAGCTGAGATTTTGCAAAAATTTTCATACCAGTATCAGAGAAAAGCTCTTCTGAAGTTCAAAGTCTGCCTTTGTGCAGGGGTGTGTATGTGGGGGTGTGCTTTTTGGTGCGGCGGGCTCTTGCCTCTTTCGTGGGAGAAGCAAAGCAGGCACACAGCTCAGCCAGAGCTCTCCTATTGTACTAGAGGTGGGAGGAATCTGTAAGTGCATGATTTATCGGAAGTGCCCTGGGATTGCCATGGTAAACATTTTGACTTTGAGCAGCTGGTGAGGGAAATAATTGCCACCATGAGGGAGCAGGAGGGAAGCAAGGAGTTCACCAGGCTGGCATGGGTGGTTTGTGTCTCATAATCCAAACTGGTTTCCTTGCTCTGCGTCCTGCTTTTTCTAGCAGTGCCTTCCCATGGGATGTCCGCTGCTCATGGGTGACACGGAAGCCGCTGAGAGTTCTGGTGGTATTATTTTAGATTTAAGGAATTGGGTTGTTTCCAGGACAACTGGGGAAGAATGAGGAAGGGACTTGTTCTGACTCAACTTGGAGTAACTGATCATCCTAGCTCAATCACTACATTTCTCCTGGAAAATGGTTAATTTCCTGCTTTTAAAGAGGCCTCTTCAAGCCAAGCAGGCAATTGTATTAAAAAATACTAATGCAAGAAACATTGGTGCAGTTGCAGTTGTAGGCTGATAATAGCAAAGAGCTATCTCTGAAGTGAGCCCAAGTTGAGGATACTTAGCACAGTCAGAAGGAAAGTCCATGTTGTTTGGGCTGTTTGGCTGTTTGTTAAAAACCCTTAACTTTTGCTGACTGCTAAGTAAATGTCCCTGTTCCACACTGCTTCTTCAATTAAGTGGATTTTGTTACATTGTGTCATCTTGCCTCTGTACAATTAATTGCCTGCTGTTCTAAAAGGAAACTCTAATGTTATCTTATTTTTCTTCTTTCCATATTCTTTTAATCTCACAGCAATCTTGACCTACAGAATGTGGTGTTAGACTCCAGTGCAGCGATGGGGAGCAGTGAACTTGAGGAGAAAGATGCCACTGGAGCCCTTGTCCACGACCTCAGCAATGGCAGCCACAGCAATTTGGAAGCAGCCAGGCGCCTGGCTAAGCGCCTCTACCATCTGGACAGATTCAAACGCTCTGATGTGGCAAAACATTTGGGTAAAAAGTATGTGCTGATATGAGTACATGCTTGGCCACATTCTTATTGATGTGGTTCTGGAGGGGTTCACTCTTGTATGATAACCTTCACATATTTCTTCACTTTTCTTTAGCAATGAATTCAGCAAGCTTGTGGCCGAAGAATATCTTAAATTTTTTGACTTCACAGGCATGACGCTGGACTGTTCACTCAGGTACAATTCCATTTATGGACTTCATATTCTTATGTTAGTAACAGTGCTGTTTGCAGTGTTGTCCTGATTTACATGATTGTCCTTTTCGTATGTAAGAAGATTAAGAGAGGACTGTGATGTATTTTGGGGGCAGAGCTCTCTCTTCTGTTTGGCTTTGTGTGCTACCCTACTCTAGTGCTACTGGAGTGGTGGCTACATGGAGGGGGAAATATTTGTCTAGGGATGGTCCTTGAGATGCTGGAGAAAAGTTTCCAGTCACTGGCAAAACAGGGGACTTGTAGTCTGCCAGATGCTAGTGAGAAATTACAGTGTTGCTCGCAGCTGATCTGCACAGACTCTCTGGCTGATGCCTTTGAAGCTTACCCCGCTTTGTTGCAGTGCACTAAGAGCAGGGTTTGGTGTGGTTTGGCAGCTCCCCTCTCTGTGTCTTCCTGAGGAATCCAAGAATGTGCAGAACAGTAAAAGCTTCTACGTGGAAAAAGCTGTAGTGAGTTTGGTAACTGTTGGCATGGGTGTTTGAAGACTCAGCCCTTCCATTTTCTTTGCTTTTTACGCTTGAATCAGACCTCAACAATTTTTATTTTCAGTGGTTTTTTTTCAGAAGTCAAACCACCAAGTTTATGTAGCAGTGGCCTGTTAGCCCAGTTGCTGGTGTTCTGGTGTTTAAGGGGATTTAAATGAGTTTAACTCATTTGACTGAGGTTACTTAAGGGGGATTTTTTTTTCTAACGAAAATCTAGAAGATGTGCTGAGCCCCTTAGCAAATGCATTTCTGGGGATCTGATGCCATGAGACCATAGCAGATCAAAGGCACCCACCAAGTCCTGCCTGCTGAAGGCAGTGGAAATGGAACATGCCTGCACAAACATGAACCACCTGGTCCTGAGGCAGGGGGAGTGGAGCCAAGCTGGAGCACCCACTCAGCGTGGAGTGGGAGATGCTGGGCAGTGGGAGGTCTGTTGCTCTGTTCCAGGTTTCAGCACCCCTGAAGCGTGATGCTAAATATACCCTTCTTTTAAATTGTGAAATCCAACACATAATTGCTTTGTGGCACATATTTAGGAAGCCTCTGCTCCCTGTAGATCTCCTGTTAATATTAGTAGTTAGGACTTTCTCTAAAATGTGCCCAGGCTCATGTAGGACTTAAACAAGTCAAGGGGTTTTTGAGGTTTCAAGAGTAGCTACAGTAATTGCCACCTACGTGCCCTAAGCATGCTGCAGCAGCTGGGGACAAAGAATCGTTCCAAAGCCTTAGGAAACTGAGGCATGCTACCTCATGCTTGGCAGAGTGAGAGGGGAAACAGTGCTGTTGTTGCTGGCTCATTGATAAGTTGTGGTTTATTGAGCATTTTGGGGGCAGCTGCTGTGATCTGTGCTACCTCCCAGCTATGGGAGGGCGTTTTGCAGCATCAGTGACAGGTCTGAGACCTGGGAAAGGTTGCTCCTTCACTGTCCACTCCCTGGATTCATGTTGCCCACGCACCTCCTGAGTACATCTCTTGCAGCCTCTGCAGGATGACAGGAGGGAATGTGGTGCTGCTCTGGCTCCTCTCAGTGTGCATTCTGGAGTCCAGCCCTGGACATGGGGGGAGCAGGCTTAAGGCTGCTCAGGAAACTAGTTAGTAAGGTTCCGTGGGAAAATGCTTCTGAAGGTGCTGGGATCATTACTGGTCACTACCTCCTAAGGGCACAGGGGCAGGCAAATCGAGACAAGGCAGAAGGCTAACTTGAATGACCAGGAATCTTCTGGACCTAACAAAATGAAGGTGTTCATCCAATGGGAGAAGGGTCAGGTGACGTGGGAAGAATACAAATTTGCTGCTCACCACTGTAGAGAGAAAATTCCAGCTAACAAAGTTCAGATGGAGTTTAACATTGCCAGTACTTGTGTGGGACAACAAAAAGATTTTTTTTAAATAAGTCAATAGAGAAAGGCAATGCAGAATGGCTCAGTGTATTGAGGGACCATGGCTGTGAGAATGATAAACTCCCACCTGATCCTGAACTTGTGTGGGATCTATTGCTCCATCTGGATCCTCATGAGTCTATGGGGCCACATGGGATTTATCCAGAAATACTCAAAGAACTGGTTGATGTCATTGTGACATCTCTCTTAATGATTTTGGAATGGTTTTGGGCATCTGAAGAGATCCCAGTTGAGTGGAAACTGTCTAACTGTCTACCTTGTCTAAGGGCAAGAAGGTTGACCCTGGAAACTATAGGCCTGTCAGTCTCAGTTCAGTGCCTGGTAAAATAATGCAGAAAATTATTCTAGGAGGTATTGAAAAATACTTGAAAGACAATGCAGTGATTGGTGACAACCACCACAGCTTCATGAGGAAAAAGTCCTGCTTATCCAACCAAATTTCCTTCTGAGACAAGGTGACCCACTTAGATGATCAAGGGAAGCCAGTTGATGTGATCTTTTTGGATTTTTGTAAAGCTTTTGATACTGTCTCTCTCAGGACCCTTCTGGAGAAAATGTCCAGCTGGATAAACACATCATGTGGTGGGTGAGCAGCTGGCTCATGAGTCAGGCACAAGGGGCTGTAGTGAATGGGGTGACATCAGACTGGTGTGACCTGTCACTGGTGGGGTTCCACAGGGCTTCATCCTTAGCCCTGTGCTCTTCAACATCTTCATAAATTACTTGGGCACAGGACTTGAACATATAATAGGTAAGATTGATGATACTAAACTGGGAGGAGCCACTGACTCCCTCAGAGGAAGTGAGGTCCTGCAGGGAGACTTTGATGAACAATGGGTCTGGGGAACTACGAACTGTGTGAAATTTAACAAGGGCAAGTGCTGGATTCTGCACCTGGGATAGACTGGGAAATGAGGTGCTGGAGAGCAGCACAGTGGAAAAGGACTAGGGAGTCCTTATGGAGGGCAAGTTGAATATGAGTGAGCAGTGCCCTGGCAGCCAGGAGGGCCAGCTCTGCCTGGAGTGTATCAGGCACAGCATCAGCAGCCAGACAAGGGAGGGGATTGTCTCACTCTGATCTGCACTGGGGCAGCCTCACCTTGAGTGCTGGGGCCAGTTCTGGTCCTTCAATATAAGAAAGATACGAAGCTACCGGAAGGTATCCAGAAAAGGGCTACAAAGATGGTGAAGGGCCTGGAGGGAATGCCAAAGAAGTGGCTGAGGTTCCTTGGTTTGTTCAGCCTGGAGGAGACCGAAGGGAGACTATATTGCAGTCCACAACTTTCTTACAAGTTGAAGAGGTGGGGCTTGCACTGATCTCCTCCCTGTGGTGACCTGTGACAGGATGCAAGGGAATGGCTTAAAGTTGTGTCAGGGGATGCTTAGGCTGGACATTAGAGAGAGGTTCTTTGCACTGCAGGTAATTGGGCACTGGAACGGGCTCCCCAAGGAAGTGGTCACAGCACCAAGCCTGACAGAGTTTAGGAAGTGGTTGGACAACACTCTGAAGCACATGGTGTGATTCTTAGGGGTGTTCTCTGCAGAGCCAGGAGTTGGACTTAATGATCCTTGTTGGGTGCCTTCTAGCTCAGTGTATTCTGTGTTCTCTGGAGGGCAGAAACTCATCCCTGTAGCCCTTGGTATTGCATTGTGCTCTGAGAGTGAGGAAACTGCCTTGTTTATTGACAAATATTCTTTCATCAGTTTCCTCTCCAAGTTAGCTTCCAAGGGGGTAAATGTGCTGCAGAGGAGGAGAAGGTGTAGGTCAGTGGTACCTGGCATGGGCAGGGAGTGTTGCTGGAAAGAGCCCAGACTGGGGTAGGAGACAGAAAGATGGCTAATTCTCAAAATTTGCCTTAGGAGCTCTTGTGAATTTAGGAACAGTATTCCCCAATTTAATGTTCCCGCTGAAACACTCCAAAACATGCACCACTTGCTCCCCTCCCCCCTCTGTGGGGCATCTCCTCTCTATGGGGAGGAGAGCTGGAGGCACAAAAGACAAAGATCAAGGATTGAGATAACAACAATTTACTGGAAACAGTAAATGCAACAAGAAGATGAAGGGTAACAGCAACAATATTAATAACAGAGTGTACAAGAGAGCTCAATGATTCACATGCAGGCCCTCACCATGTGGAAACCAGCTATACCCTGACTGCTCCAACCCCTTACCTGACCAGAAGAGACACCTCACCCCTACAACCTTTACCTGAGGTTGTACAGAAAAACATCAGGCTCCTAGGCATGCTCCTTCTGGCTACTGCAAAAATTGACTGTCCTGGCCAGAATCAGTATGTTTTCCATCCCTTATGCTATACCATCTATATCATGTCCAGGTCCTACACCTCCCAGCTACGCGTGTGTGTGTGTGTGTGTGTGTGTGTGTGTGTGTGTGTGTGTAATGCAAGCGTGAGTATCATTTCCATAGTCAGTGGCTGTCCTTTCAAGATGTCTTTTGAGTTCATTTAGTCCATGACTGAGTTCTGTCTGTTCTAGATGTCTTCCAAGGCAGGAGGGCTGCCTGGTTTCACCTGGTTGCAGTCTACATCAGGAGCTCATGACTGGTATATCTGGAACAGCCCATATTCATTTTCCAGTAGTTACAGCATACAGAGGCAGTGCCATTCAGCAAACAATATTGTACAATTGAACATTACAGACTGTTCTCACTCCAAAATTGAATCCCCTTGGGGTACACCTCATGCTTCCCTGTCCCTCCACATTACCCATCAAGTGTCATCAGGTGCTTGAGCAAAACCAATCCCATGCATGGATTTGCCTTTGCAGAAGGGTGGGACCAATCCCGACCATGTTCCCTAACACATTTCTCCTTCATACCACAGGGTCTTCATCCCCTGCTGCAGTGCATAGTAGTTTTGATTGGGCAGGACCAGCTTGATTGGTAGAGCCTCTTGTATTAACTAACAAGGTGGCCTTTGCTAAATGCAGATCCCCATGTTAGAAGGTGCCACCCATTGCTTTCAATGTCCTTTTTAACAGTCCATTGTGGTGTTCAGTTTTCTCAGAGGTTGGTGCATAATAGGCAATATGTTAGACCCACTCAATCCTCTGCTCTCTGGCCCTTGTGTCTGTGGGGCTCCTTTTGCAATGAGTCCCATGAGTCCAACTCAGCTCTTTCTGGGGTGCCATGTTGCTGCAGAAGTTGCATCTCAAGGCCCAGGATGGTGTTTTGGGCATTGGTGTGAGGCACAGGGTTCATTTCCAGACACCCAGTGGTTGTTTCCACCATTGTAAGCACTTGTATCACTTGCCTTGGTGGGTTTGCAGCAGTGTGATGTAACCAGTTTGCCAGGCTGCCCCATATCTGTGTTTCAGCCACCTGTACCCACCGTACCAGAGAGGCCTTACCCGCCCGGCCTGCTCCATCACAGCGCATGTTTCACAATGTGGTAACTGAGAGGCATGGTCCGTGGCCAGGTCTGCCCCTTGGTCACAAGCCCACATGGATGTTGCGTTTCTTCTCTGATAACCTGAGGCATCTTGAGCCCACTGAGCCAGAATAATTGGCTCTTACATTGCCGGTGCAGATTACCCCAAGCCGCTTTAATCTTGGTGGCCTGATCCATCTCTCCATTGCTGCAATGCTCTTCAGCAGCCTGACTCCTGGGCACATGTGCATCTCATGGTGTTCTTCTACAGTCAGCTTCTCTAACAGGGCAGCGATTTCTTGCCAGGATTCATCAGCCCAGGTGGGTTTCCCTCTGCACTGCCAATTGGCTTCTTTCTGTCAGTCCTGCCACCCCAACACAGCATTTGCCACCATCCACGAGTCAGTGTAGAAGTAGATTGCTGGCTGTTTCTCTTGTTCAGTGATACCTAAAGCCAAATGGATGGCTTTCAGCTCTGCAACCTGATTTGATCCACCTTATCCTTCAGTAGTTTCTGTGACTCATCATATAGGGCTGTCTATGGCTGCTTTCTCTTTTTGATTTGTCCCTGTGATACAAAAGGAACTGTCAATAAAGAGATCATAATCCTTTTCATTTGTAGGTAGCTGATTGTATGGTGGGGCCTCCACAGCATGTGTCATCTTCTCCTCTGATGATGATGATGGTAGTCTGAAATTTTCAGCTTCAGGCCAATTAGTGATGACTTCCAGGATCCCTGGGTGATTGGAGTTTCCTGTTCAAGCTTGCTGTGTGGTCAGAGTAATCCAGTTACTCCACAGTGGCATGATGTGTTGCAGGGACTTTCTCTTTGAATATCCAGCCCAGCGCTGGCAGCTGGGGCACCAGGAGGGGCTGTGCTTTGGTGTCAGTCACTTCTGAGGCAGCTCTGACCCCTTCATAAGTCACCAGTGTCTCTGCTTCAGTGGGGTTGTAGCTGGTCTCAGATCCTTTGTATGTTGGAATGTTTGAATTCCTAACTCCAGAACACCAGGGGTCGTTGTTGAATCTCCACATGTACGCTTTTGCCAGTGATTCCCGGAAGGACCACTCTTCCCAGCTGTACTGTGGAGCATACTTTTTTACATCTTGTAGTGTCCTGACTGGCTACTGCATGAGCAATCTCCTGTTTAATTTGTTCAAAATCTTATTACTGTTCAGGACCCTGCTTGAAATCATTCTTCTTCGGTATCACTTGACAGAGAGGTTTTAAAATCTGTCTGTAATCTGAAATATGCATCCTTTAAAAACTCATGGTGCCTGACAGGAAACACAGAAACCTGTGTTTCATTCTTGATGGTTGTGGGGACATAGCTGCTGTTCCAATGACCGTGTCCATTGGAATCTAATGGCGTCCGTATTGCCATTTTACTCCTAAAAACTGAGTTTTCTGGGCAGGTCCCTTGATCTTACTTTGCTGTGTGGCAAAACCAGCCTTCAGGAGGATTTGCGTTGTCTTCTCCCCTTTCTCGAAAATTCTTGCCTGTGTTGCCCTGCATGATCATGTTGTCAGGATATTTTTTTTGCTGTCAGTATATTTTTTCCTCACATCCTTTTCCAGTGCAGTCTGGATTCGTCCAGGATAATTAATGGGGCTCTCTTTCCACCCTTGGGGAAGTCAGTTCCAGGTGTATGTCACACCCCACCAGGTAAAAAACTGAGGCCTGCACCCTGCTGCTAAAGGAATGGAGAAGAGCATGATAGCAGTGTTGTTGGTGGCACCACCTCACTGCTTTGGACTCCAGCTCATACTGAAGTCCCAGCACGTTGGGCACAGTGGCACTCAGTGCTGGTGTGACTTCATTCAGGCCATGATAATCTGTTGGTCCCTGGGCTAGCATACTGACCATATAGGACTGTTAAAGGGTTAACAAGGCTTGCTGACCACTCTCTGGCTGGCTCTCCAGTTCACAGATCATCTCATGGATGGGGGTCACAGAGCCCCAGGTGGTGCAGTATTGTTGGTGATGCAGTAGCCATGTGTAGTGATTGTATCTGCTGTTCTTCAGCCCTCAGCAGTCCCTAAACAGAGAGGTCCTCTGAGACACCAGGCAAGGTATTCAGCTGTCTCATTTCCTCTGTCTCCAGAGCGGCTATCCATCCCATAGATCCTCACAATGCCTTTTTGGGTCCTTGAAATACCCTCTTTTGGGGTAACCTATGCTAAAGATGCGCAGGGCCTCTGGGCCAGTCCCAGTGGGATGTTTTTGCCATCCATTCATTTCCAGTCACCTCTCCACCTTCCAGTGCAGGCAGCTGCTGGGATCCCCTTGGCATCCCAGAAAGAGATGGATTCTGTCCCGATGTATCTTGGTGGCATCTGAGTGCCGGTGTGAGCTAAAGCCTTGCACTCTTGGGTGTCTGATGTGCCAGAGCACTGGATCCACACAGTCCAGTACATCTGATTGGCCCTTTCTTCTGCCTGGCTGGGGCCTCTGTAATTCTAGTAATAGTACATGTTGTTCACTTCTTGTAAATATGAGCTGGAGGTTCCTTCATGAGGATCAGAAGTAACATCAGCCCGTATATTAAAAACTAACTCTGTCCTGTCCAGAACCAGGACAGGAGGACAAAGTAGGAAGGACAGAGAAACCCTGTCAAGATTCACTTATATCTACTTGTGAACTGGATTATTCGCAATACATTATATGTTAAATTAAGTTATTACCATGCAGATCACACTCTGTGTGGGTGTGAGATTGTTGCAAGTACAGCTTGTCTCTGACCTTACATCACAGAGAAAAAAATTAAAGTTTGTGCATCCAGACTAGATAATGTGAATGTCCCAGCGATATATTCCATTCCTCTCAGATCTGTTCCGTCTAATGGGATGTTTAAAAATTGTCTGTAAGACTGTCATTCTGTATGTCTTCTTACTTCAGATACAAAAGTTATGTGTTTTCAGTATTTTCTAGAAGCATCTTGATAAATGAATGTAGAAGGTCATCTTTGGCAGTGAGATACATTTTTCTATGTGGGAAGAACAGCAATGTGGTTAAGAGGAGGTGTGGTCAAGCAGGAGAATAGAAGTGAAAGATGTGTGTCGTCCCCACCTCTCTCTGCACAGGCTTGCTGGCTGTATCCAGTGAGTGCCCAGATGTGCACCAGCTCTGTGCCCTGGGCTCTCATAAGCAAGAACCTCAGGAGGGTCAAGTTACTCCTCCTGTTGTTGAAGCTCAGTGGAAGATGTTGCAAGTCTTCTGCCCTTTTGCTCAGATATTTTCTGCAGGTCCAAGTAGTCACATGCCTCTCCATCTGTTATGGTCCTGGCCATTCTGATAAGTGACCACACATTCGGTGTTAGCTGTGAGTGCTGTGCACTACTTCACCACCGGGAGTAGCTTTTCTGATTTGGAAAGCAGTACTAATGAAGTAAAGTTAAAAGGTGCAGGGATGGTGGGCAATTAGAAGAGAATAGGGAACATCCTGGATATCTTATCATGCATAAAGAATACATGTTTCAATTCCTTGCCCATAGGAAAAAAAATTAAAAGTAAGAACAGCTATTTCAAATAGTGGAATTACTTATTATTTTGCATATTCAGTGGCTGAGACCAATAGTAATTTAAATCTTCTTTCATTTACTAAAATATTTGAGTTAATTGCATGCAGAATGATAGCCCAATTTCCTAGAAAGGCTTCTTGGAACTGAATGTGTGCTTATGTACTTCTTACTGTGATGTGTGCTTTGCTCTGTGCACTGTGTGAAGCAAAAAGAGATTTATTACCTTAATTTCACTTTTTTTTCCACTGCTCTTTTAGGAGTTTCTTTAAAGCCTTTTCACTTATTGGAGAAACTCAGGAACGAGAGAGAGTTTTAATCCACTTCTCCAGCAGATACTACCAGTGCAACCCAAACGCCATTTCTTCTCAAGGTAACTTTGTTCCTGATATTGAGGTCTTTCCACACATATGGTGTATGCCTGGAAAATGAAGCTGTGTGGTCACTGTGCCACACTTTAGAGACTGTCTCTGAAACCCTCAGCACAAAAGGTATTCAATATAAATAGGTCCTCAATACAAATCCTCAGTTGTGGCACCTCCAGATTTGTCCTCACTTGTGGTTTCTGGTCTTGCTGGCTTTGGTGTGTGGGTGCTTGTACTCCAGCTACACTCATGTGGACAAGAATAGGTCCTGTGACACGTGAAAGAGAGGTTGTTCACTTTCCGTGCTCCATTCAGCACTTGTATCTGCATGCACTGGCATCAGGCATGCCAGTTCTTGCCAGTTGTGGTGATGAATTTTGAGTGCTGTATCCAGACCCTGGCATGGTTTCATCTCGACTAGCTAACATCAGAGTGCTTCTCCTTGCCAATGTTTTCAGTCAGTTTGGAAATAAATGATGGAAACAAACAAGCACATAGATCAATCCTGAGAAAACTGGGATTGCAGAAGAGGACAAACTGTCTGTTGGCGTAACTGCTATGTTCAGCCAGACATGCTGGCAGAGCCTTGTGGCCCTGTGATTGCAGCACATGCTGATCACACACTGAAAAAGAAGGCAATCATTGGTTTAACTGTACTTTAAGTTTAATGTGTGAGAAAGAGCTGCTACAGTTGGAGGTACCACTGTGCCTCCTTACCCCTTGCTTTGTGACCTACCCCTGTTTCAGTGAGATAATGTTTGGGCACATCGCACCTCTTCAGCTTTACTGGCTGTCATGCAGGGGAGGGAGAAAGCTGGGAGTAAGGATCTGCTCCTGTGCTATCTCTGTAATGTGCCTATTGCCTTTCTTATTTCAAGACACTGTAGGCAGTCAGAACAAGTGCGTCATGTCCAGAGTGAAACAATGACTTGCCTGATGATATGGCTGCCTTACTCTAGTCAAGACTGCAAGAGGGGTATTGTGACTTTGGACCCCGAGTAAGCATTTAAATCCTGCACACTTAACCCAGGATCTTAGTACTATGCGCTGTTTGGGCACCACAATATAAGAAAGATACAAACCTATCAGAGAGTATTCTGAAAAAGGATATGAAGATGGAGAAAGGTCTAGAGGGGAAGCCAGATGAGGAGCAGTGAGATCACAGAATTTGCAGAGTCTGGAAAAGAGGAGACTGAGGGGAGACCTCCTTGCAGTCTACAGCTCCTTCATGGGGGGAGGGTGAGGGGCAGGCACTGATCTTTTCTCTGTGGTGACAGTGACAGGAGCTGAGGGAATTAGGATCTGAGGCTCTGAGCGGAGCCTTAAAAGTTGTGTCAGCAGAGGTTTAGGTAGACATCAGAGAGAGGTTCTTCTCCCAATGGGTAGTTGGGCGCTGTAACAGGCTCTCCAGGGAAGTGATCACAGCACCAGCCTGGCAAAGCCCAAGAAGTGTTTGGACAATTCTCTCAAGCACATGGTGTGATTCATAGGGATGTCCTGTGCAGAGCCAGGAGTTGAACTCCATGATCCTTATAGGATGCCTTCTAAACTTGCTTGGAAGGGTTATTCAAAAAGGGTCTAAGGTACTACTACTTTTCCCTGAGTTGGGCACAAAGAAGAACTTGACAAAAGTTCCCAGAATGTTCACAACCAAACTTTCCTAGCAAACCTTAGAAAATCAGGAATTTAAAACAAACATTCAATCAAAATAAAGCATTTCACAGACCATTGACTTAGTAAACTTTACTCATCCAATCTTAATTACCCATATGTCAGAAAATGGAAATTAGGAGTAGAGAAGAGGAAAAAATATACAAAAATAAAGAGCAAAAAACCAAGATACAGCTACTGCCCTCGATCCTAGTGTAGTTTCAGCTATCCAAAGACAATAGGAACACAACCACATGTCCTGGGGTCTGCTCTGGCTTCCTGTGGCAAGCAACTGCTGGGGGTACTTCCAGTCATCTGGCCATCCCGGGGCTCCAGGGCAGAGTGTGAAGCATTGCTTTCAGTGTGCCAGTGATTAGTGGCAGTTCTGAACTAGAGGCTCCAGAGAGTGGGGTGTGGAGCAGTGCACCATCCCATTTTCTGCAGAGCTGCTCCCCCTACACACACATTTCTGTTATTTTGAGCCAGTAATCACTTTCTTCAGTCTCTCAGTCCTCCTACTCTATTCTGTGGTTCTATGAATCTGACTTATTGCTGAGGGCCTTGGCCACAGGACCAGCTTAGAAGCCCCTGGAGCAGCCAAGGCAGCACAAGTAACTGACTGTACTTCTCCAAAATTAGGTCTAATTTAGCTGTGAATGAGGACTAAGCCAGAGGGGAAGAAAAACAGGATACCCTGCTGCACCCACTCCTTACACAAGAAAAAAATGTATTTTACTTTTCCCTTTCTGCACTGAAGTAAATGAAGAAGGAAGTGTTGATTCATACTGTAGTGTTGGTATTAGCAAGCTAAGAGTGATAGCATGATTTCCTGTCTTGCTTGCCTCATCCATGGGTGCTGCAAGACAGTTTTGAGAGTTACTAAAAGATGAAAGAAAGACTGTTCTGGTTTGCCAGCTGTATGATGACCTCATTGTTCATTTATTTAATTATGTCTATTTCTTGATAAAACAGATTCTTATGAAGGGAACAGACTTAGTTAATCTATGAGTCTCAGTTTCAGATTCTTGAAGGTCCAGATGTGGTTTTGAATGTGACTCTGGTTATTTCTCTTTCTGCAGATGGAGTTCACTGTCTCACGTGTGCCATGATGCTGCTGAACACAGACCTCCATGGCCATGTGAGTATGCATAGCTTTGTGTAGACTGCTCCTATCCACACCATGCTGGGACTAGGTAGCTTGTGGTGGTCCCGGTGCTGGTGGCCTTTTTCTGAAGCCCTTGCAGACGGCAGACAGTGAGAAGGCTGCACTCCCAGGCTGTTGTCCTGGGCAGGCCTTTCCAGCATGCCTTGATCAATCATGTGTAAGCTGGCATTGTGCCTGGCGTTGCGATAATGTCTGAGCATACTCCCTGACCTTAGGGCCATCTTTCCAGTGTGCTTACCATCCTTCCTGCAGCAGGCTCTAACCAGGAAGCTGTGTGTGGGATTGGCTTCCCCTTTGCAGTATGTACAAACATGTGGGAAGGCAGAATAGAGATGGGAGGTGAAGAAGACCTTTTGGGAAGTCACAAAGGGAGAGTGATGTTTGCAGGCATTCAGTTGCAGGGGGCAGATCTGGTGGAAGCAGAGTTTTGCACAGACAAAGGATGGGTATACTCAAAACCAAGAGAATGGAGGGGGATGTGAGCATGCTGAGTGGGAGCCCTGTGTTCCTGTACTGCACACCTCACCCCATTGCCTGCCTGGGTGAAACAGTATTCTGGTTTGAGTTCTCTTAGTCACACTGCTACAGGGTGCCAGCAGCCTTAGGATGGGTATTTCAGCACCCATGGTGCAATACACCAGCTATGCAAGGTATTCCCATGCTGATGAGAGGCTTCCTCTGCCCTGGAGTTAGGATGGAGTGTGTAAAAACACAGGGAGCATGGCATTGTAGTATACAAAAGCAGTGGCTTTAGCCAGGTATCTCTGGGGCTTCTCTCTGGCCCTCCACTGCACTTGCAAGGGCTCTCCCAGGAGGATGTCTGTTGGGAACTCTTACGCACCAAGAGTGTTGGATTGGGCAGCAGGACATAGAGGCTTCCTGGGTCTGTCTAAACGGACTACTTGGCCCCTGTGGCAGTGCGGGTAGTAAAACCAAGACTTGAGTATTCACAAGGAGTTTGAGACCCACCTCCTATTAATGGAATGCCTTTGTCTGCAGGTTGTGGAAGCAGGAGGGGATAGGGAGTTGTGAAGAATTTTTTTCTCTGATGGCTTAGCCTTCCCTACTGAATGACTGGACGCGAGGCGTACAGGAATGTGCTGCAGTTTGTCTCGTAGCACACATGGCTTCTCTTGAGGACACCTGAGTCTTTCTGCAGAGGTATCCCACTTCCCAGAGTGGTGAGCAGCCTGGAGCTCCTGCTTTACAGACTGCCTGGCCTCACAGTCCAGGGAGGGAGACCAAATAATGGTCATGCATTAGCCTGACAGCAATTCCCATTGCTCCCTGTGATGCTTTAGTGCTCCCTGCGATGCTTTAGCGCTTTAGTACTGTCTTCAGTAGGTACTGAAAAAAACAATTTAGCTCTGACCCATCATTGCTGCTGCTGACTCTGGTTGTTGCAGTGTGTAACTTTGGAGACTTACCCCACTGGCAGTTGACACTGTGTTGTTATGTACATGCAGCTGTAGTATTTCCCAGACTCCTACTTGTATTATGTCCATGGGTGTGCCATTGTGTTCCCTCAAACCCCTCTGATTTCCTCTGATTTTGGACTTCCTCTTACTGCTTTGCATTTTTCCACATAGGTGGTAAGTTTGGTGTTTTTGATTTGGAATGCAGCCCTTGCAGATATGCCTAATTGCCTGTTTCCTAACAAAGATAACGTTTGCCCCATCCTTACCAGGATTCTGCTGGAGCAGGAAGCAAATGAGTCACAGGGCTTGTCTATACACTGTGCTCTATTTGTTACTGACATACTGATCATAAGCACAGACATTTCTATTTCACAATCAGCTCCACTGCTTGTAGGACTGTAATGCAGTCCTTCTGCCTTCAGTTCGCACTTGCCTTTAACTCTTGTAGACAAACTTTTACTTAATCCCCTTTATGTTCCCTGTCTTGCCACACTTCTATTTGTAACTAAACATTTTTGCTAGATGTGTTTTGGAAATGCATGCTTGCTTCTCTGCACAAATGTCATCACCCACATTGGTGCTAGAGAGTGTTGAGGTATCTCTAGACCACCAGGCACATCCTCTGGAACCTCTGTGGCACTGTATGAAGATGTCAGCTTTGATCCTGCAGCAAAACAGCAATTTGTCTGCATTGTTGGCTTTGCTCAGCATGGGGAAGCTGCCAACTGCTGCTTGGAGGAAACAAATAGAAGTAGGCTGAAGTTGCAGGGAGAAAGGAAAGCATTTGTCAGTCTCTACTAGACCAGCTTCAGCCTGCACCTGAAGACTGAAGTTATAAGCTGTATTCTATAAGCTTTGCAACCACAGACCCAGGGTTACAGCCCATCTGTGTTGTCAGGAGCCATCCTTTTGTGGGAAGCCATGAATTGTTCCAGGGTTACTGCTTGCCTTCTTTCTGTAGGTTTGTGCTGGCTGCAGGCTATGGGATGTTCCTTATTGGCAAGGTGAGGCTGATGGCCAAGATTTGGTGGTTTTCCTGATCAAACATTATGGAAGGGAAATAGAGGATATGCACTTTAAGCTGTCGTGTAATTCATAACATCGAATGGCCTGTATTACCAACTAAGGGCACCAGTCCTGTGTTAATTTGGGCTCCTGGTCCTAGCCGAAGACAGAGTTCACACAGAACTCTTCTGCTGTATTTCTACAGACAAAACATGCCCTGACAGTGGAAAAGTCTTCACTTCCATCTCTTGACTGACAGTGATGCTATCGTCAAAGATACCCGTCACAGAGCCCTATTTTCCCCTGTCTATACCCTCTGTCATCTCAGGCTGCTTTCCTTTCCCCAGATATCTTTGGTGTCCTTTTTCATCAATGCAGTGTTGTAATTGTTGCCTGCTCACCAGGCTCCCTGCATACTAAGCAGGACCCTTCTAACACCTAGGGGACTGTGTACAGACACTTTCTCTGAGGGGTGATGAAGGCAGGGATTCAATAAGCCTCAAACTTCTGGATGTAGTTTGGCTCCTACACAGACACATAGGGACAGCCAAACTGTTCCTTTCTGTTTGTGGCTTATTTGGTCAACTTTCAGTCAGAGACTTGGACAGGAGGAGAAAAAAGAGAGCGAGCCTATGGAAATGTCAAAGCAGCTTCAGCCTGTGAATCAGAAAAGGTAGTGGCCATGCCTGGGCATCACACTCCAACTCACAGCAGTTGCCACTGAAAAGGGGGCATTTGAAATTGTAAGGGAAGGATCTAGAAAGGGCCTCAGTCACCTGTTTCCTGGTGCCCCACAGCAGATTTAAGTAGAGCTTTTCCATCAGAGACTGGTAGAGCTTTTGGAGACATGGGGATATAAGGCACCATGCAAATATGAAAGATCTTCATCATTGTCCTCTTCATTACCCCCAGTATTAAGCTGGGGTTTTTTTTGGGGGTGTATGTGGGCCTTTGGGTGCAAAAGGGTCCCCTTTTCTAGCTATATGCATACAAGGATGCTCATCTATGAGTAATCTCCTGAATGTGTTCTTAGTGCTGCGTGGCTTGGGCTTAAAGGAAAGCAGGAAGATGCATTTAATCGGATGTTGCTTGTTCCTGTTGTTATGGAAAGCAACAGGAATATGATGTTGTGTTTCTCTGACACTCCTTTCAGAACATTGGGAAAAAGATGACCTGCCAAGAATTTGTTGCTAACCTCCAGGGGATGAATGATGGCAAAGACTTCCCGAGAGGGCTCTTGAAGGTAAGGAATTAACTGCAGAACGTGTGTTTCATTTCTGTTGAAAGATGGTTCAAAACAAAACACCCATCTTGCATTTTCTGAATCTTAATTGTCACATGACAAGTGATGGGGCCATTTCTCCTCCCAGAACATATATAATATATAAAATGTTTATTCTCTTGTTTTCCCTCTTGCCTTTACTTGACAGTGAAGGTGACTCTCTGCAGCACAGAGGTGAAACTGAGCTGCGGCAGGTCTTGCCCCAGAGCTGTGTGCTTTGTAAACTCCTGTGGTCATGCCAACCCAGAGTGCTGTCTCCTCATTGCAGCGGACAGAAGCAGCCAGTTGGCTCTGAATGTGAATACATTAAAGACTAAGCCTGATCTCTGTGTACAATCTGGAAGGCGTGTGGTTTTTTTCATCAAAGGTGCTTTGGGATATTCATATTAGAGCTGGAGATGTAATTTCAGATTATAATGTGCTGTCTGGCACAGGCTGTGTTGCTTCAGCTTTTGTTCATTAAGTTTGTGCTAGGAGTTAAACCTGAAGAATGAGGGAAGAGGCTGAGCAGGACAAACCTTGTTTTATTGTCAGTAATAATGAGAATGTTTTGCTTCTTTTTTGTTTTGCTAGCACGAAACAACACTTTGTTTAAATGAAGACAGGTGTGCATACACTGGAGTTCATAATTTATTTAATTTTGTAATGGAAATAAAAATAAGAGGCTGCCACATCTGAGAGCTGATCCAGTGCCTATTGAAATCAACCAAATGAGTTGCCATCTCTTGTGTGAGTTTTGTGTCAGAATCATTGTGAAATACAGATTTACCTGCATAGTTGAAAGCAGCAGAGTTTGTCTTCTAGTATTGGTAATTTCTTCATTTTCTTAATCTTCTTCAGGGAGATTTTTGTTGGACCCTCCTGCTTCAGTTCTTACTAAGCAATGGGGAATATTAAATTTTAGATTTAATGTCTTTAATTTTTGAGTCTGTGTATCTGTCAGCAGCCACAAGTAAATTACTTTTTCCCCCAAAGGAATCTCATTTCTCCGTTTGCCATAGAGGGATGTGTTGAGATTAATTTGCAGGCTAATTACAGCCCTTACTGAATAAATAGATCTCCAGATTGTGTGTAAATAACCTGAGTGTACTGACAAGAGACTTCCAATGGTTCTCACCTGCTGTTTGTTTTCCTCCTGACAGAATTATGCAGCTGGGGCTGTACCTTCATGTTTAGTGCTCACCTGCTAATGCTAGGGATGTCTGACTCTTGACCCAAAGCAAATACCAGGGCTCAGGATTTTTTGGATGTAGACAAATGGAAGAAGTTTGGTGTTGGTGTCTCATGTTGCTTTAAGGCTTTCTGCCCTTTTCTGTGTGCTGTCTTGGGGACAGAGGTGGCACGCAGCTTTCTTTTCTCATCTGGCTTGTCTGAAGATTTGATAAACTGACCCTTGTTTTTTAATTTATTAGTGGAAGGGAGTGGAGTGAGTACGAGTAATTGTGCTACTGTGTTCACAGCAGCCATGCTGCCACTAAATATGCGATTGCTAAGAATTAGTGGAAATTAATTTTTGCATTAGTCTCAATAAATTAAATTCATAGCACCCTTCTTCAGCACAGCACCAAAGTGTATGTGGTTTGCTGCTGCATTAGCTGTGTAGCCGCTGAGCATGGGTGAGGCTGCTAGCCTTCTCCCTGCATCCTTGCCCAGCTGCCTGGGAGAGGAAGAGTGGTTTCCACAGGGTGGCAGTGTGTCCCTGTGGGAGCGAGGTCCTGGGCACCCACTGGTGACTAATGCAGACCTGTGGTGAAGCAAGTGGGATTTTCTGCCTCTGCAGTCTCTCTGTATTCTCCTTGTGGCCCTGTTGCACCCTTGTATGAAGCTCTGCTGAGCCCCAGAGCAAAGCTGAGAAGTAGTGGAGGGGAAGGAAGGCTGTTCATCCAGGGCTTGTGAAGCTCTGTGCAGCATTTATTGTGGATCCACTTCTCATAGTCAGGGGTGCAAATGCAAATGCTTGTGCTATCCAGGACAGCTGGTTGACAGGCATCAGTCAGATGTTGCCTTCAGTCAATCCCTTCACTCTTTGGAGTGCATCCCTGAATGTTTTGTCAGGATAGGAAAATAGCACAACAAGGGACAGACATCAGCATGGGAGGAGGGACACCCTTTTGTGTGATCAGCCTCAGAAAACTTGGGATGTTGGATCAAGTTTCTCCTTTCTTTCACCTTCCTGGGGGAGCTATCTGTATGTTTTATTACAGTTTTTTTCCAATAATAAGAACACTTTTGGTACAAACCACAAGGCCTTCATGACCTGATTTTCTATATGTCACTAGTTGTGCTTTAAGAACAGATTATTTCACTCTGGTTTGAAAGCAGAAATGAGAAATGCTAACGTGATCTTGCTCACCTTGTGTCTTGCTGTCCATTTAACATTGAAAAAGGTTTTGCTTTTGTACACCTGTCTGCACATAGATTCATTGCCTTTTTCCTCACTCATTTAGTCACATCCAAGGTTGCTTTTGCAGTTGGGACTCATAAAGACAAATATGCCAAACTGTGATTAAAAGTGCACTTGTCCTCGTGGGGTCTGCTTGTAGTATTCATGTATTTATCACACACACATATATATATAGAAAGAGAAGCCATGGCTAGGATCTCCCTCCTTGGAAAGAAAACAAAATCAGTCTGACATTTTGGCAGTGTTAAGAACCTCATGATTACAATGTAGGAGTGGTTTCTTTCTCGCATGCTTACACCAGCTTTAATCTTCTGTAATGATATCATCTTCACAATTATATGCTAGGGAACTGTACTGTGTGACTGTAGCCTTCTTCAGAGCTGGGCTTCACAAGATTTTCTGGAATGAAGAGGAGATTCGCTTGGAAAGAGCCTAATTTTGGCCTTACATTCTTGCTTCAATTCCTAAGGGCAGTGTGGTCCCGACAAATAAAGTGCTGGTGTGGTGCTGGCCACAATGTTTTCCTCTTGGCATTTTTGTTGAGGATGATGAAACAGGAAAGCCTTATAAATATGATTGTTTGGCAAAAGATTTTGAGAATATAGAAACTATAAGCGAGATTGAAATGAAAGCAAGCTTTAAGATCCCTTAGTTACTGAACAATGGGAAAACAATGGTGTGGCCGATTAAAGGTAATCTCTTTTTGATGAAGCAAAACCTTCTGCTTGCAGACAAGTGCAAAAGTCAGAGCAGACGCTACTATCTTGGCAGAAGGGGTCTAAAGAGTAGTTTTTAAGGTTTAAAATGTAACCCAATATGGTAATGTAACGATTTTATTCAACACAAAAGAGGATTTATTGTATTGTAACGAGAATTTCGCTCTCTTACCCCTTTTACTCTCTTATACTTTTGCTCTCTTACCCTTTTACACTCTTACCCTCTCATCCTCTCTACCCCTCTCTTTTCTCCAGCCTGCTCTGGGCTGCGGCTGGCAGCTCCAAGCAGGGCTGCAGCACGCAGGCCCTTGGCGATAAACCACAAGTTCCATGACCTGGCTTCGGAGATCTCTCGTCTCCGTCCATCCCGACTGTCCTACCCCCTGTTGCTCCTACAATTTTGAGACAAGGTGTGTGAAGGTCCACTCCAGGAAGGTGGCATTAACAAGGCCTTTCATATGTAAGGAGAGAATATGTCTTGTGTGGTCCACAGAGAGCCTGCAAGAAGGCACGAGGATATGGATCCCTGCTTTTGTTAGGCAGTGTTCTGGGAGGGGTACTCTGTTGTTAGGCTGCATGCAAAGTACCACCTGTCCTGTGTAAGTAAATGTCCTCTGCATTTACAACACACCTCATTCATGAAATCACAGGCGTCACCCAACCTCTGACATGGGCTGACCCATGGCAGTGGTGCTGCACCATGACATGAAGTGGGGAAGTCATACCTGGCTGTGTGTCTTTTGGTAGGAGGTGGTAGCTCTTCTCTGACCTGTTATCCCATCTGGGAATGTCTATCATGCTGAAGTACCTGGGATGTACTTGGCTAGACTCATCCTTTCAGGGACTGCTGATGGAGATTAGATGCCAATCCTGCATAAAAAGTCTGCTTTTTCTCAAAGGGTTTTTTTTGGGTAGGCCTTATCTCCTGCAGAAGCACTGTAATGAAGTGACCAAATTAACTTGGAGTTGCTGGTGCTGAACTCTTCTGAAGAACCCATCCTTAATTTCCTAAATGATCTGAATTCTTGATTAGGATTTCTGGGATATGCAATTTCCTATAGAAGCTGCAAAGTAGGGTTTATCTCATGTTGCTGTCAGTTCCCTCCACTTCAATTAAGGGGTGTTTTTGCCACTGTCTTTCTGCTTTCTCTGGCTCTCCCTCTCTTTTTTTTTTTTTTAATTCCCTTTGAAAGCCCTCCAAAGCAAATACTCAATTCAAAGAGAATTAAATTCGTCTTACTTCATGGCATCTTACTTCATCCATTCCAATAATTTCAGGTATTTAGCAGAGAGAATGAACATCAGGTGGCTAACATCTCCCTGCACAGCCTCAGCCCCCCTTTATGGAGAGGAACTCACACTAATTGGACTGCTGTGTGCCCCCTAATTGCTCTCATCAGCAGTCCTTGTACTTCATCCATTTCATGGCTTTTTGGCAAGAAATTCCCACCTTCCAGGGAAACCTGATGAAGTTGGGGAGATGAGAGTGTGTGACAGCAAGCCAGGATGGCCTCAGGAGGACCTCATTGACTGCTGTAACACCCTGTAGCAGTGGGCAGAGGAGAGAGAGGACCAGATGCCTTTGCTTCATGGAATAAGACTAGAAGATAAGGAAATAAAGAGATAAGGACCAGATGCCTTTGCTTCACGGAATAAGAAACAAGATGTAGCTCCTGATCTCTTCCCCAAAATAAAGTTTTTTCTCTTCAAAATACTTCTGATGGAAATAGTATTTTTGGGCCATTTCTTATCTGTATGAATTAGAAGGTCCCGTTACAGAGGGCCCCTTTCAGCTGCTAGGAGACAACAGAGTCTAATCTGGCAGTATAAAAGTCAGGTAA